AAAAAAAAAAAAAAAAAAAAATTTAATGGAATAACGTAGCTTGATAACCATTTGAGGGTTCAGGTCTGTGAAATAGAGGGGAATCATGAGAATCTTTCTTGTTTAACCAAAATAAACTGAAAAATTAGGACAATGAATGTACAAGATTTAAACCAACTTCAATAATTAAGACTGACCGAATTGGTGCATAAGGTTTGTGCTTTGAAGCACTCCTTCTGCTCCAAATTCATAAGAAACTAAGTTTCAGAGAAAATATATAAAAACTAAAAAGACATTCTCACATTAAAAAAATAAATAGATGACAATGAAGAGTAGCCTTTCTGTGGAGCAAAAGTGCAAGACAGTGAGCAGGACCAAAACTGTGGTTCTGCTGGCCTCCACTGGACATAGGCCACGGGGCTGGGAGTTGGGTTCCTGTGGAGCAGCAGGGCTAAAGGTATGTTCCACCTGAGTTAAGCCAAGGCCAGGCTTCACTACTTGGTGCTGGAGTTACTCCTGGTAAGAATGAATATTAAATAATATAGTGCCTGTAAAGTGCTTACAACTGTGCCTCAAGTGGAACGGAGTGGGAAAAGGGGAACACAGAGAACTCCATCAATCCAAGAGAAATCAGAAAAGGGGGAAGAAAAAGAAAGGACAAGAGACTGAAAACCTGAAATAAACCAGGAGAACTAAATATAAGAATATCCATAACCATGTTAACTGTAACAGATTAAATTTGCCTATTAAGACAGAGGTACAGATTGGGTGAAAAATAAAATCCAGCTGTATGCTGCTTACAAGAGACAGACATACAAGCATAATATCATCAGAAATGTTGAAATGAAGAGAAAGGTGAAAAGAAAGCTTTTCTGGCAACATTAATATCAGGCAAAATAAAATTTAAAGTTAAACTGTTAAGATAAAGATGGACATAACAAAAGGAGTGATGTATGAAGAAGCTTAAACAGTCATGAGTAGATGTACATTTAACAACGTAAACTGAAAAATATAAAGTCAAAATTTATAAAATTAGGAGGAATTTTGTAAATCCACCGTCAAAATGGGAGATCTGTAGGCATGTATCTATTAGAAATTAGTAGATCATGGCCGGGCGCGGTGGCTCAAGCCTATAATCCCAGCACTTTGGGAGGCCGAGACGGGTGGATCACGAGGTCAGGAGATCGAGACCATCCTGGCTGACACGGTGAAACCCCGTCTCTACTAAAAAATACAAAAAAGTAGCCGGGCGAGGTGGTGGGCGCCTGTAGTCCCAGCTACTCAGGAGGCTGAGGCAGGAGAATGGCGTGAACCCAGGAGACGGAGCTTGCAGTGAGCCAAGATCCGGCCACTGCACTCCAGCCTGGGTGACAGAGGGAGACTCCGTCTCAAAAAAAAAAAAAAAAGAAAGAAAATCACAAGGAAAAGAAAATGTATTTACAATTCATTCAGTGTAAGTGGATCATCATAAAGGCCTTCATCCTTCATGGCTTTTTGGGTTTTTTTGTTTGTTTGTTTGTTTGTTTTTGAGACAGAGTTGTGCTCTGTTACCCAGGCTGGAGTGCAGTGGCGCAATCTCAGCACACTGTAACGTCTGCCTCCCAGGTTCAAGTGATTCTCCTGTCTCAGCCTCCCAAGTAGCTGGGATTACAGGTGTGCACCATCATGCCTAGCTAATTTTTTGTATTTTTAGTAGAGATGGGGTTTTGCCATGTTGACCAGGCTGGTCTGGAATTCCTGGCCTCAAGTGATCTGCCCACCTTGGCCTCCCAAAGTGCTGGGATTACAGGCGTGAGCTGCCACACCTGGCCCTTATCTTCATGTGAATTAGGCTGAGGGAGGAGGAAGAGGAAGGGTCAGTCTTGCCGTCTCAGGTGGCAGAGGTGGAAGAAAATTCACATGTGAATGGACCTCTGCAGTTCAGACCTGTGTTCAAGGATGAAGTGTATGCAGTATGCCATAGCTGTGTAGTAAGATGTTTGTGTTAGGGGAAAGTGGATGAAGGATATACAGGAACTCTTTGTACTATTTTGGTAACTTTTCTATAAATTTCAAATTATTCCAAAATAAAACAATTATGTTTAAATGATAATGTGCACATGTAAAACAGAAAATCAAGTTCAGAGGATAAATTAAGATGAGCAAGACCTCCATGGTGAGACGTTTTAAGACATCATTGAAGAACACAAGATGCATGAAAAAAATGAAGGCACACAATCATGTTCATGGCCCGGAAAACTTGGTATCAGAAAGATATTAGGTCTCCCCATGTTTATTTATACATCAATTAATATTGTTCCAGTCAAAATTCTACCTTTTTAAAAAAGATCTGGACAAAAAGGGATGAGAAATACTAAGACAATTTTGAAACTAAGCCATGTGAGGGAAATTGATCTACCAGGTAGCAAGACTTACTACAAAATGCTAGTAATTAAGGTTGTGGTATTGTCACAGTGATAAGTGGATAGCCAATGAAATAGAAGAGACAGCTCAGAAAGATCCCATGTACATACGACATCCTGCTACATATTAGAGGTGACAATTACTTGGCTGTGGAGAATAGATAGACTATTCAATAAATGATGCTGGGACCATTGATTATTCAAGTAGGAAAAAAATAAAATCAGATCTTTATGCCAAATGCAGAAATAAATTCCATAAAGTCAGTGAAAACCTGTACTTTAAAATTTGTGGAAAGAACATAAGAGAATATCTTTTTTACCTTGGAGTAGAATAGGATTTATCATACCAAAAACTCAAACTAAAATTGGAAAAGATTGATAACTGCTTACATTTAAATTTTTTAAACTTCTATACAAAAAATGATACCAACAAAATTAATAGGCAAGTTTATTTTCTGTATATGTAACCAACCTGAGATTAGTATCCAGAGTATAAAGAACTCCTTTAAATCACTAAGAAAGAACCCAGATTCCCCCTGCCCCAACACCCCCGAGATGGAGTCTTGCTCTGTCGCCCAGGCTATAGTGCGGTGACTCGATTTTGGCTCACTGCACCCTACACCTCGGGTTGAAGCGATTCTTCTGCCTCAGCCTCCTGAGTAGGTAGGACTACAGGCACCTGCCACCATGCCTGGCTAATTTTTGTATTTTTAGTAGAGATGGGGTTTCACCAAATTGGCCAGGCTGGTCTCGAACTCCTGACCCCAGGCAATCTGCCCACTTTGGCCTCCCAAAGTGCTAGAATTATAGGCGTGAGCCACCCTGCCCAGCCACAATCCAGATTTTTGAAAAATAGGCATAGTATCTGAGACAGTTCACAGAGAAGGAAAATGGAATGCATTATAAATATAAAAGTGGTTCTTTTAAATTCAACAACTGGGTTAGTGCTCTTCTCAAGTAATTGGTTAGATATTGGCCAGGGACAGTGGCTCACACCTGTAATCCCAGCACTTTAGGAGGCTGAGGCTGGCAGATCGCTTGAGCCCAGCAGTTGGAGACTAGCCCAGGCAACATGGCAAAACCCCATCCCTACAAAAAATACAGAAATTATCCAGGCATAGTGGCGTGTGCCTATAGTTTCAGCTACTTGGGAGGCTGAGGTGGGAGGATCACATGATCCTGGGAGGTGGAGACTGCCGTGAACTGAGATCATACCACTGCACTCCAGCCTGGGTGGCAGAGCAAAAACCCTGTCTCAAAAAAAAGAAAGAAGTGAGAGATTGTGAGTAAGCTTTGATTTTTAAAATACATTTATTTTTATTTGCTTGGTACTGACAAACATTCACAATAATGTTGCCTGAGTCACCAGGAAGTGCCCTGTCCAGCCTTTGTACCTCTGATTGCCACGCCTGACATTTTAAGGAATAACATGGCCTGGTCAATTTATGTTTCTTTCAAGAATGGGAGGCCGAGCATGGTGGCTCACACCTGTAATCCCAGCACTTTGGGAGGCCAAGGTGGGTGGATCACCTGAGGCCAGGAGGCCAAGACCAGCCTGGCCAACATGGTAAAACCCCGTCTCTCCTAAAAAGACAAAAATTAGCTGGGCGTGGTGGCAGGCGCCTGTAATCTCAGCTACTCAGGAGGCTGAGGCAGGAGAATCTCTCAAACCCTGGAGGCAGAGGTTGTAGTGAGCTGAGATTGCACTTCAGCCTAAGTGATAAGAGCAAAACTGTCTCAAAAAAAAAATAGGCTGGGTGCGGTGGCTCACGCCTTTAATCCCAGCACTTTAGGAGGCCAAGGTGGGTGGATCACCTGGGATTGGGAGTTTGAGACCAGCCTGACTAACATGGTGAAACCCTCTCTCTACTAAATACAAAAAATTAGCTGGGCGTGGTGGTGCGTGCCTGTAATTTCAGCTACTTGGGAGGCTGAGGCAGGAGACTCTCTTGAACCCAGAGGCAGAGGTTGCAGTGAGCCAAGATGGTGCCGCTGCACTCCAGCCTTGGCAGCAAGAGCAAAACCCTATCTCAAAACAAACGAACAAAAAAACAAATGGGAGAAACAATGCTTTGTGATAAATAAATTTTGTAAAGGGCAGGTTTCAGTGTTCCCTGTTTAATGTTGCAAAATTGCTTTCATGGATACTTTTTGTGTTTATCTGTTGCCTAAATTATTTCCCATTCATATTGCTTTTACTCATTAATGTTGAAATTCAGTGCTTGTAATATCTTTGAATTCTAACATATAGATATGCATGCGTGCATATATACATTCATTTAAGTTTTTTAAAAAATTTACTTTTTGTTGGAGTCATTTTAATTCTGGAGTAAAAAAGATGTGGTCTTTTTCCTAGAACGTCCCATACCCTTCGATCATATGATGTACGAACATCTTCAGAAATGGGGTCCACGGAGGGAAGAAGTGAAATTTTTCCTTCGACACGAGGACTCTCCAACTGAGAACAGTGAACAAGGTAGATAAATGCTTTCTTCCTTATTTGTTAATTTTTGCTAGAAAAGTTAATTTAAGAAAAATAGGAATAAATATTATTCACATACACCCACCCCTGCACTTGCAAGTGGCTAGAGGGAAAGTTGGTATCTCATGTTTCTTTGGCTTCTGTTAGTGTTGTTTACCATTATGGCACTGTTTTTTTTTTTTTTGAGACGGAGTCTCACTCTGTTGCCCAGGCTGGAGTGCAGTGGCGCAATCTTGGCTAACTGCAACCTCCACCTCTGGGGTTTAAGGTATTCTCCTGCCTTAGCCTCCCAAGTAGCTAGGACTACAGTGCATGCCACCACACCCAGCTAAGTTTTGTATTTTTGATAGAGATGGGGTTTCACCATGTTGGCCAGGCTGGGCTCGAACTCTTGACCTCAAGTGATTTGCCACACCTCAGCCTCCCAAAGTGCTGGGATTACAGGTGTCAGCCACTGTACCCAGCCAATTACATCACACTTTTTAGGCATCAATGTTAATTAAACAACATACTCAGATATATAAAGGGACTTGGTGTTTAAAGGGATTGTTTTTGGGTTTTTTTTTTTTTTTGGAGATGGAGTCTCACTCTCATACAGGCTGGAGTGCAGTGCGCAGTCTCGGCTCACTGCAACCTCCGCCTCCTGGGTTCAAGCAGTTCTCCTGCCTCAGCCTCCCGAGTAGTTGGGATTACAGGCACCCACCACCACGCTAAAGGGATTGTTTTTGGTTAAATAACAGATTGGTCAAACCTCTAGATTTTAAAAGTATATAAAGCCATGAAAAGACTAGAAGAAAGCTCTGGGAGATCTTTTTATTTTTAAAGTGAACAAGGCCTTTGTAAGTGTAACACTAAACTGTAAAAGACAAGACTGATAAATGGATTATTTAAAACAAAGGCTGGGTGCAGTGGCTCAGGCTTGTAATTTCAGCACTTTGAAAGGCTGAGGCAGGCAGATCACTTGAGCCAAGTAGTTCGAGACCATCCTGTGAAGCATGGCAAAACCCCATCTCTACAGAAAAATTAAAAAATTAGCTGGTTATGGTGGTGGATGCCTGTAGTCTCAGCTACTTGGGAGGCTGAGGTGGGAGGATTGATTGAGGCCAGAGGTGAAGGCTGCAGTGAGCCGTGATTGTGCCACCACACTCCAGCCAGCCAGGGCAACAGAGAGAGACCCTGTCTCAAAAAAATAAAAATAGGCCGGGTATGGTGGCTCACATCTATAATCCTAGCACTTTGGGAGGCCAAGGCAGGCGAATCACTTGAGGTCAGGAGTTTGTGACCAGCCTGGCCAACATGGTGAAACCCCATCTCTACTAAAAATTAGCCTGGCGTGGTGGTGTACGCCTATAATTCTAGCTACTCAGGAGGCTGAGGCAGAAGAATTGCTTGAACCCGGGAGGCAGAGGTTGTAGTGAGCCAAGATCACGCCACTGCACTCCAGCCTGGGCGACAGAGCGAGACTCCCATCTCAAAAAATATATGTAAATAAAACAAAACCAAAAATAACTGCATGGCAATAACATCTAAAAAAAAGTCAAAAGATAAATTATAAACTGGGAAGTAGCATTTATAGCTCATATTGCAAAGGGCTAATTCCCTTTACACGTAAAGAGTTCCTAAAATTTGATAAGAAAAAAGCTTGGCCAGGTGAGGTGATTCAAACCTATAATCCCAGCACTTTGGGAGGCAGAGTGGGGCGGATTACCTGATGTTGAGAGTTCGAGACCAGCCTGGCCAACAAGGTGAAACCCATCTCTACTAAAAATACAAAAATTAACCAGGCATGGTGGCTCGCACCTGTAGTCCCAGCTACTCGGGAGGCCAAGACAGGAGAATCGCTTGAACCTAGGAGGCAGAGGTTGCAGTGAGCCTGAGATCGCACCATTGTACTCCAGCCTGGGCAACAAGAGCGAAACTCCATCTCAAAAAAAAAATAAATAAAACTTAGTAGAATAATAGGAAAAACATATACACACACAGTTCACAGAAAAGGAAATATACATGGCCCTAGGATATATCAAAAGATATTCACTTTATTCCTAACAAAAGACATGCAGAGAAAACTATCCTGAAATACTATATTTTACCTGTCACATTGGCAAAGATTGGAACAGTTAATATCACAGTGTTGACAAGGATGCTGAGAAACAGGCAGTCTTCTGCATTGCTGTGGGAGGCAGTTGGCACCTTCTATAGAAGGAAATTTGGCAATAGCTGTTAAACTTACAAAACATGAAACCTTTTACCCAGCAGTTTCATTTCTGAGAATTTATCCTAAAGCTGTGCCCTGGCACATACAAAATGATATATAAACAGGGGTATTCACTGAGCATTGCTGGTAGACACAACCTAAATGTCCACCAGGAGAGATGAGCTAAATAAATTAGGGTCCATCCACACAGCGGAATGCTCTGCAGCCGTAAATAATGAAGAACCTCTGTGCCCTGACCCAGACCATCTCCTAAACATGTTAAATGAATTAGCAAAAAGAATGGGCACACTTAGCTGCCTTTTGTGGAAAGATGACCAAAAAGTAATGTACATCTATATCTGTTTGTATGTGTATATGTATAAAGCAGTTTTGAAAAGATGTCTACGCAACTGGGGATGTTGTTGGCCTGGGGGTAAGGGAAAAGTGGCTGTAGATCAGAGGAGGGAGGGTTGTTGATTGTATACCTTTTTGTTCTTTTTGATTTTTGAACCATGGGAATATACTATATATTTTTGAATTAAAATTTAAAGAAAATAAGAAAATTTTTTCTGAACACATATACACTGTACAGTTAAAAGACCTTTGGCTGGGCGCAGTGGCTCATGCCTGTAATCCCAGCACTTTGGGAGGCCGAGACAGGTGGATCACGAGGTCAGGAGATCAAGACCATCCTGGCTAACATGGTGAAATCTCGTCTCTACTGAAAATACGAAAAAATTAGCTGGGCGTAGTGACAGGCGCCAGTAGTCCCAGCTACTCGGGAGGCTGAGGCAGGAGAATGGCATGAACCCAGGAGGTGGAGCTTGTCGTGAGCTGAGATCACTCCACTGTACTCCAGCCTGGGCGACAGAGCAAGACTGTGTCTCAAAAAAAAAAAAAGACCTTTAACTTGTTATTTAACAGTGATTATGGATTACTTCTGATATTTAAAAAAATGAACTCAAGCAAATAAAAGGACAATCCTTTATAAAAGTATTATTTCTGTTTTGCAAGTTATTCCCCTTTATTTGTATTTTATAGTAAAGGAAAATTTGCCCTTGGATGAGCTACTATCTACTTTAAAATCATCTTTCTGTAGCTGTAAATATTGTTATAAGGCTGTCTTTTAGAATACCATTACCTCCGGATCCAGGACACCAAGGCTCCGGGCTCAACTCTTCATCTACTTTTACCTTAGACCAGGGTCCCCCCTGTCTTGGGAACATCCACCTGAAGAGAAGGGTTAGACTGGTTGACAGTTGAAGTGCTGCTTTAGTGCTAAGGGTTTATTTTAACTCTCTACCTGAGCTCTGCAGAGACCTATACCCTCCCTCAACTAGCTATACTTAAATAAAAAGTCTTACCTTTTACTTATTAATATGCACCTAATTCTTAATGTCCTGAGGAGAGGTTACTTTTTTTCTCACTTTATAAAGTTTGGAAATCGGCCAGGCATGGTGGCTCATGCCTGTAATCCCAGCGCTTTGGGAGGCCAAGGCGGGAGGATCACGAAGTCAGGAGATTGAGACTATCCTGGCTAACATGGTGAAACCCCATCTCTACTAAAAATACAAAAAATTAGCCGGACCTGGTGGCGGGCGCCTGTAGTCACAGCTGCTGGGGAGGCTGAGGCAGGAGAATGGCGTGAACCTGGGAGGCAGAGCTTGCAGTGAGCCGAGATCGCACCACTGCACTCCAGCCTGGGGGACAGAGCGAGACTCCATCTCAAAAAATAAGATAAAATAAAATAAAGTTTGGAAATGGGCTGGGTACGGTGGCTCATGCCTGTAATCCCAGCACTTTGGGAGGCTGAGGTGAGAGGATTGCATGAGCCCAGGAGCTGTACATTCACTCTCTTTCATGCCCCGACTCAGAATTCCATCTTCCCTACCTGTAACACTCTACCCTCTGCGCCTTACCTCTGCCTAAAAGGGTGGCATAGAGAGTAGCTTATTGGATGCTGTCTCATGTTTTGTTTTGCTTTTGCTCACTATACTCCTCCCTTCAGCTTATTAATATTCTTTTTTTCTTTTTCTTTCTCTTTCTTTCTTTTTTTTTTTTTTTTTTTTTTAGAGACAGTCTCACTCTGTCACCAGGCTGGAGTGCAGTGGTGCAATCTCAGCTCACTGCAACCTCCACCTCCCAGGTTCAAGCAGTTCCCCTGCCTCAGCCTCCTGAGGAACTGGGACTACAGGTGTGCACCACCACACCCGGCTAATTTTTTGTATTTTTAGTAGAGATGAGGTTTCACCATGTTGGTCAGGATGGTCTCAATCTCCTGACCTCGTGATCTGCCCACCTTGGCCTCCCAAAGTGCTAGGATTACAGGCGTGAGCCACCACCTCCAGCCCCTGTCTCAGTTTTAACTCTGTTAGTGAAGGCCTTTTTTTTTTTTTTTTTTGAGACAAGATTTCACTTGTTACCCAGGTTGGAGTGCAGTGGCGTGATCTTGGCTCACTGCAACCTCTGCCTCTTGGGCTCAAGTGATTCTCCCACTTCAGCCTTCCAAGTAGCTGGGACCAAAGGTGTGTGCTACCGTGCCTGGCTAAATTTTTTGTATTTTTGGTAAAGATAGGGTTTCACACTGTTGCCCAGGCTGGTCTTGAACTCCTAGTCTCAAGTGATCCTCCTGCCTTGGCCTCTGAAAGTGCAGGGATTACAGGCATAAGCCACCATGCCTGGCCCTAATGCAGATGCCTTTTGTATTTTTTTTTGCTTTTGGTTTTGGTTTTTTTTTTGAGACAGAGTCTCACTCTGTCGCCCAGGCTAGTGTGCAGTGGTACTATCTCAGCCCACTGCAACCTCCCCCTCCCGGGTTCAAGTGATTCTCCTGCCTCAGCCTCCTAGGTAGCTGGGATTACAGGTGTGCGCCTCCATGCCTGGATAATTTTTGTAATTTTACTAGAGACAGGGTTTTGCCATGTTGGGCAGGCTGGTCTCAAAACTCCTGGCTTCAAGCAGCCTGCCCGCCTCAGTCTTCCAAAGTGCTGGGATTACAGGCATGAGCCACCACGCCTGGCTGTAAATGCCTTTTTGAAAAAATTTTTCTCTTTTTTCCCCTCTTGGTAATATGAATGCCAAATTTTTATCTTTTATTTTTGAGACAGGGTCTCACTGTCACCTGGACTGGAGTGCAGTGGCGCGATCATGGTTCACTGCAGTCTCTACCTCCTAGGCTCAAGCTATTCTCCTCAGCCGCCTGAGTGGCTGGGACTACAGGCACATGTCACCATGCCTGGCTACTTTCTGTATTTTATTTTTGTAGAGACAGATTTTCGCCATGTTGCCCAGGCTGGTCTTGAATTCCTGAGCTCAAGTGATCCTCCCACCTTGAGAGAATCCCAGCACCTCCCAAAGTGCTGGGAATACAGACGTGATCCACCTTGCCCAGCCCCAAATTTTTATTTTTAATAGTGATAAAATACACTTAAAATTTACCATCTTCTTCATTTTAAAGTGTTAAAAGCCTTTTGATAACAAGTCAATTTCAAGATTCTGAGATAGCATGTAAAAAGAAAAGATTTCATTTAAACAGCTTTATTTCATTTATTTTTAATTTATTTTTTTAAGACAGGGTCTTGCTTTGTTGCCCAGGCTAGAGTGCAACAGAGCAAGATTGTACAGTAGCCCAATTCTGGCTCACTGCAGCCTCGACCTCTCTCGCTCAAGTCCTTCTCCTGCCTTAGCACCCCAAGTAGCTGAGACTACAGGGTGTACCACCATACCCGGCTAATTTAAAAAAATTTATTGTGGAGACAAATTCTCCCCATGTTGCTGAGGCTGGTCGAGAACTCATGGGCTCAAGCTGTCTTGCTGCTTTGGCCTCCCAAAGTGCTGGGATTATGGGTGTGAGCCACTGAGGGCGGCCTAAACAACTTTTATAAAAGATTAATTGCAAGACCATTTTTTCAACTGTACTAAAGTCTTGAATTTCTCAGCCTGGTATTTTACACTTGTGTTCAATAAATATTTGAATACATGAAGAAATGGGAGAATATTACTTTTTTCTAATATGCCTTTCGGTGAGTTTGGTTCTTTTATTTCTTTAGGTGGCCGTCAGACCCAAGAGCAACGAACTCAGAGAAATGTAACAAATGTACCTGGAGAAAAACGCACTGAAAATGGGGTAAGTGAGAGTGAATTAAATTGAATTTTAAAAATTGATGGCTAGGTGCAGTGGGTTACACCTGTCGTCGCAGCACTTTGGGAGGCCAAGGTGGGAGGATCACATGAGGCCAGGAATTTGAGATCAGCCTGAGCAAGATGGTGAGACCCTCTCTCTATAAAAGGTTTTTAAAAATTAGTCAGATGAGGCCAGGTGCAGTGGCTCACACCTGTAATCCTAGCACTTTGGGAGGCCGAGGCATGTAGATCACGAAGTCAGGAGTCGAGATCAGCTTGGCCAATCTGGTGAAACCCCGTCTCTACCAAAAAATATAAAAATTAGCCGGGTGTGGTGGCGTGCGCCTGTAGTCCCAGCTACTCGGGAGGCTGAGGCAGGAGAATTGGTGGAACCTGAAAGGCAGAGGTTGCAGTGCACCAAGATCGTGCCACTGTACTCCAGCCTGGGCAACAGAGTGAGACTCCATGTCAAAAAAAAAGAAAAAAGGAAAGTCAGATGTGGCCAGGCATGGTGGCTCATGCCTGTAATCCCAGTACTTTGGGAGGTCAAAGCAGGCGGATCCCCTGAGGTCAGTTCAATACCAGGCTGACCAACATGGTAAAACCCTGTTTCTGCTAAAAATGCAAAAAAAATTAGCTGGGCATGGTGGCGGGCACCTGTAATCCCAGTTACTTGGGAGGCTGAGGCAGGAGAATCGCTTGAACCCAGGAGGCGGAGGTTGGAGTGAGCCAAAATCGTACCGTTGCACTCCAGTCTGGGCAAAAAGAGTGAAATTCCATCTCAAAAAAAAAAAAAAAAAAAAAAATTAGATGTGGTGGCATCCACCTGTACTCCCAGCTACTCAGGAGGCTGAGGTGGGATGATGACTTGAGCCCAGGAGTTTGAGGCTGCAGTGAGTCATGATTGTACCACTGCACTTCAGCCTTGTCAGAGTAAGACCGTGGTTTTGTTGTTGTTGTTGTTTGTTTGTTTGTTTGTTTTAGATTGCTTTTTACTGGTACTAATGAGTTTGGGTTATAACTTATTTTTAAATTATTATTTTTGGGGTAGATATTGTCATTTCTGTTGAATATTTCAAAATATCATATGAAGTTATAAAGCAGTCACTGAGACGTGTTGCCTATTCACGTGATGTTCCATGAATCAGATCACGTCTCCTTTGGAGCAGACTTCCGCCTGCCCTTCACATGCTGCTGCCATGTCCTCTCCTGGAGCAGGCAGTGGGTGCCCTCTGTGCACGTAACCACAGCATCTCTGTGGCGGCAGATGGGCTATGGGCTTAGCTCGTAGGCTAAGAGTTGGGTAGGCTGACTTGCTTTGCATCTTCAATGTTGGTTCTGGATCCTCTGTCAGGTTTTGACAGACACAATGGATGGTGGGCTGCAGTGTCTTCCTCCATCATTGTGGTATAGACTTGGAGAATAGATGGAATGCTGATCATAGGTGAGGGGAGCTGTGGAGGAGCTCTTTGTAAGAAATGTTGGTGTTGGCTGGGCATGGTGGCCCACACCTGTAATAATGGCACTTTGGGAGGCCAAGGTGGGTGGATCACCTGAGGTCAGGAGTTTGAGATCAGTCTGAGCAAGATGGTGAGACCCTCTCTCTATCAAATGTTTTATAAAATTAGTCAGATGAGGCCGGGTGTGGTAGCTCACGCCTGTAATCCTAGCACTTTGGGAGGTTGTGGTACACAGATCACAAGGTCAAGAGTTCGAGACCAGCTTGGCCAATCTGGTGAAACCCCCGTCTCTACAAAAAAATACAAAAACTAGCCGGGCGTGGTGGTGTGCGCCTGTAGTCCCAGCTGCTCGGGAGGCTGAGACAGGAGAATCGCATGAACCCAGGAGGCAGAGGTTGCAGTGAGCCGAGATCGTGCCACTGCATTCCAGCCTGAGCAAGAGAGTGAGACTCCGTCTCAAAAAAAAGAAATGTTAGTATGTGTTGAAAGAATGAACCAATAGGGACATTTTTAATGTGGTCTTTTCTGAAAATTTTAAAGATAACTTTAACAAGTAATTTTAAGATTAGAGATTGAGTTTCTTTTTGTGCTGTAACACTAACTAGGCATCTAAGCTTAGGCAAGTTCCTTCCTCACACAGGGCTGGGCATGATGAGACACTGGTAAAGTGCATGGAGTCTAGAGTGTGACTGGCCCATGTTCAGCCCACTGGCCTCGGAACTTTCTAATGAGCTGAATTTGAGCAAATTACTTCACCTCTCTACTTCCCAACGTATTATTGAATTGCTAGTTCTTTTATTGGCTATATTTGTGACCCTACATCATGTACTTAAATCTCTGTTTATTTGCACTATCAACTTTAAACAGTATCACTGGACCTTGCTCTTTATAAAATGAGAATATTAGGCCCCTGCCATCTTCCCTGCCTTCCTTTCAGCTCTTGCAGCTGTACCAAACTTTTATGTTGTAAAGGTTGACAATATTTGTATATCGTTATCTAACTATAAACCTTTTGTGCTTTGTCTGGAGATTGGTTATAAAGTTGAAAACCAATTTAGTAGTTTTATTATTTTAGATTTTGCAGGTATTATCCACTGCAGAGCCATGTGGTATATTAGATTATATTTTCTTCTCTTTGGTTTCAATATCATAATCCTTCTGCCACTGAGGGAGAAATATTCCTGTTGTTAAGATTGTAGGTTCTCCCTCCTTATACTCTAATTTATAAAAGTCGTTTCACAAATCCTCTTCACATTCCTACCTTCTATCATTAAAGTAGAGATTTGTCCACTGCAAATCCAGAGCCTCTGCAGAGTTCTTCCAGGCAGATCTGCTTCAGGATGTCTTAAGAAATAGAGGCACACACGCCACTGGTAGAAATTTTCATTCAGTAAATCTGGAGTGGGGCCTAGAAAACTCCCCACGTGACTATGTTGCCATGCCAAGCTTGGGAACATCCAGGTTACACTTTAGCAAGCACAGCTTATTTGTCCAACAGAATGTTGAAGATCTTTTTGAGTTCTAAGATTTACCATGGGACGGGCGCAGTGGCTCGCTTCTGTAATCCCAGCACTTCGGGAGGCCAAGGCAGGCGGATCACCTGAGGTCAGGAGTTCTAGACCAACCTGGCCAACATGGTGAAACCCTCTCTCTACTGAAGATACAAAAATTAGCCGAGCATGATGGCAGGTGCCTGTAATCCTAGCTATTCGGGAGGCTGAGGCAGGAGAATTGCTTGAACCCAGGAGATGGAGGTTGCAGTGAGCTGAGATTGCACCACTGCATTCTAGCCTGGGTGACAGAGCAAGACTCTGTCTCCAAAAACAAAAAAACAAATGAATGAAAGAAAGGAAGGAAGGAAGGAGGGAGGGAAGGAGGGAGGAAGGGAGGGAGGAAAGAAGGAATTACCATGACCTGAACTTCAGGGAAGATTAAATAGATACATTGAGTAGGCCGTGTGTTGAAGAAGTGAGGTGTATTATATATGATATAATATGTGGAAGAGACTCAAAAGAAAAGTATTCCAAAGGTATGATAAATTGGATAGACCAGTTTTGATGTGATGAGACCTTTTCCTTGATGAAGTTGTTTCTCGTTAATATGGAGATATTGTGTGTATTTCAAGATCAACAAACTTGAAACCTGAAACCAAACGTGTTTTTATCCTTTATGTGGCTTGTAATTAGAGGAAAGTACGAGAGCTCCTCTAGAGGCATAACTTAGTATTGGAATCATCACATCAAAGATGTTACTGTATTTTATGGCTTACACATCTGCCTTTTAAGCTTAATAATACGTTACCTTGTGAAACACTTTATTGTCTACAGAGCACTTTTACGTGCATTTTAAGATATGAAAAATATCTTCCCCCAAAATGTTTCTGTGTATACCTTGGTTATAGAATAATGAGGTGCTAAGCCTTCTAACTTCTGGGTTGAGACATCTAAGGACAGATTAAGGAGAACTGTGAGGAAAGGGAGGGAGTGTGGGTTAGAAGAGAAGGGCAGGATGCTGAGTTGGTGTGATTGATGTCCATCAGCAGCTGCTGAACTAAGAAGCCAGGGAAGTTCTGCTCTCTGAAAATTGCAGGACAGCAAGTCAGGTTAGTACATGTGCTGGTTTGTCATTATGCTATAAAGGCAAATTGATTTGTTCTCATTATATATGCCTGTGTTGAAGCTTCCAAGATGTCCCCAGGTTCCGTGATTTGCTAGTATGACTCAGGACTAAGCATAGCTCTTGAGTTGCTACAATGAAAGGATTCAGAGCCAGATCAGCAAAGAGGAAAGACACATTCGACTTAGGTATCCTGGAAGCACTTTTTCCTGTCTTCTCAGCCAAACAGGTTTAAAATCTGAGTCAGTTTTTGCTTCATTCTAGGATATCCAGTAGGTTGCTAAGACCAATTGATTCTACCCTCCTGTGTTTTTTTCTAAGAGCTTTATAGTTTTAGCTCTTGCGTTTAGTTCTGTGATCAATTTTTGAGTTAATTTTTGTGTATAGTGTGAGTTACAGGATTCAAATTCATTCTTTTCCACGTAAATATCCAGTTCTCCCATCACCACTTGGTGAAAAGACTATTCTGTCTCCCACTGAATTGCCTGACACCTTTGTCAGATCAGCTGCCCATAAATGTGATGTTTATTCCCAAAGGCATTGCTAGTGTAGTTACCCAGGCACCGGTTTTCCATGTGGCGCCCAAGACTCAACTGTGCCCGTCATCTCCTAGGCCAGATCACATTTCAACTGACCATAAATGTGATGTTTATTCCCAGAGGCATTGCTAGTGTAGTTACCCAGGCACCGTTTTCCATGTGGTGCCCAAGACTCAACTGTGCCCATCTTCTCCTAGGCCGGATCACATTTCAACTGTCTAGAGAAAAACTCAGACTTCTGCCAGGAGAGAAGAGAGGCAGTCACCTAGGAGCATGGAGTTGGGGAGGAGATAGGGATTTAACTGCCTCTTAAATATCGTTCACTCAGTCTGCCTTATTTTCAGTCCCTACATTTTATTCCCCTTTCCAGAGGTACATGGTGTTGTCAG